AGTCGCACCCTAAGAGAACAATTAAATGTGATATTATTTAACGTAATTCTTGCATAAACGAAGACCGAATTCTTGCAAAAACGAATAATTTATATTTATTGGCTAATCACACAGCAATCGAGTATACAATTATTTACAACTGTAATAAATTGCTTTCAAATACTTGATTGCTATTTGATAAGCTTTAAAATAGAAATCGAAAATACGTTGAATAATAATAATTTAAGGGCAAGCAGCAGAGTTATTAATATTAAGTGTCATATTGTTCATTTAAAATTGTCGACAACGTTTAAATTAAATAAATTTAGTACATAAAAACGAGCTTAAATTATATAAATATTAGAAATTTTCCCATCGAGCATGACTGAATGCTTTTTATGAGAAAGTAGGGATTAAATCTAACGGGTTCGTTTCATTATTACTTCCCATTGAATTACTTTTAATTACTAATAATCAGTGTTTATAAATATAAAAAATAATAAATTAGTTTAGAAAATTATTTCTTGATTTTATAAGTTATTTTTTTCTGGTATTACGATTAGCTTAGATTATTTAGGTTTATTTAGGTTAGTTTTATATACAATATATAAGCGTTATCTAAGTTACCTTTTCCTGAGTATACGAAACATCTTTATTCTAATTTATATTTTACATACGTTATTTAAATATGTCAATATTTTTGGGAAGGTTTTGTTTACATTATACACGTAAAATACCGGGAAGTCAAAAAGGTTTCTCTGTTATTATTGACGCTCTCCTCTTCACTTTCAACCTTGGTAACAGTTCAGGGTTATCGTTACGTACGGAACTAAATCTCGACTTCATGACGTTATAGAAGGAATACGTGAGAATATACGCATAGAGTTCCTTTTTGTGATAATCATTGATACCTTTCTCTAATTTAGAAAATTTATTTTACTTCAGTAATTACTTTCCTGGTTGTCATATATAACCGAGGGAAACTATGTCCATCGGTGAAAAAAATGACCATTCAAGATTTTTAGTTTTTTGAAGTCGAGACCTTAATTAAAACGTCAAAAAATACAAAAAAAATGTTTGGAGGAATTTTTCTGTATACAGTGGATGATCGGTTAACGAACATAATCCGTTTCAAGATTTTGTTCATTATCCGATTATTGATTTACCATACGTTTTTATGGGAATTTGATTAATTCGTTCCGGAGACTCCCAAAAGTAATAAATATATACTTTCTTACTGCATTTATTCATATGTAATAATAAAAATACATGTATACAATGTCTTGCATTTTTATTTGTCATGTTTTTTCCGTTTGTGGGGGTGAAGTTCGGAATATATATTAAACCTCGGGTTACCAACGGCAACCGGAGCAAATAACATTTGTTCCGAAACCCGTTTCAAAATTTTGTTCGTAAACAGTAGCTGTTTACGAACAAAATTTTGAAACGGGTTTAGGAGCAAATAACATTTGCTCCGGTTGCCATACAATAACTCGGTTTTCGAACAAGCTACTCGGCAGATCCGACCACCGATGATCAACTTCGAATGCGTTCGTTAATGGCGATCGCTCTGCGTTCCGCTACTACGGGAGTGCTCTGCTGTTTGTAGGCATTTAGGAACAACGGTAAAAGAAAAAAAATGGCGGCGCCCGTACTATAAATAGTGTCGTAATGGAGAGATCTATGATTTTAAAATATGCGTTTTTACGAACAAAAGAAGGGACCAAATTTTAAAATTTAACCATAAAATAGATTATCTCGCCGACGGAGCATTGAAAAAAGTTAGAATGCCGGCTACCATTCGAAACAAATTCGAAGAAGATACTTACATGACCGCGTGCACTAATTCGCGCTTTTACAACTTCAAAATTTTCATTTATACAACCACATAATGGATCTGGAAACGAAACTATCGGAGCTACGGAAGACGCCATGTTGTTTTCCATCTTAAACTACTATTACATGTGGCCGTTTTTGCCGTCCGACGAAGGGCACTCCGGTCGAAATATAGGAACGCATCACGCAAGAATTTTTAAACGAATGCCGCTGGCGCAGAGTTACGCGGAGGAATAAAAGAACGCACTCTTGCTGTATTTCCTGTGTTAAAGAAAGTCGACGGCCCGACCAATCAACGACAGGACTATCGATTTAATAATATTTGTTAACTTTGTTTATTCGTCANCGATCAGTATATACTAGGTTGAACGTCGATGTACACGTCGACGTCTCCCGCGTTCCGAAAAGTTTCGAATTGTTGCCTGAAGACAAAGGAAGACCAAACGGTATTCGTTATTTTATTGATACTTCGCTTCTTTTTGTTTGTTTAGTGAAGTGTTCGTTATCCGATTTGTTCGTTAACCGATTACACACTGTATATGGATGTTCTTGTGCATGTGTGTGAAATTCTTTACTTTTCCGAAGCATAATAACTCCTTTGTCTGCTTTCTGTACAAAATTTTGAAATTTTTAGAAATGTTTCTCTACTGGAAGCATTGACGCAATTCAATTTTGGTGGTTAAAGATCGACGGGGTAAACAGACAAACGAAGGTTGTGTCACATCTGCAGTATTGGCCCTACTGGAGATATGACAAGCGACCCTCGTCCACAAACTTAATGATTTCACACGTTATTCCCGTTGACAATTTTTTTTTTTTTATAAAACTCATCCCTACCTTAAAAAGTAAGCTTTTTGCTATTTTATAATAATAATATAGAATGTTTTTAATTATTAAACATCATAACAGGTGGCGGCACACACAGATTAAATGTTGCCGGGTAAGTTATTAATAATAAACTCGTTGCTGGATTTTTTAATGATGTATTAGATAAAATTTAATAAATGCATTTTTAATTAATTAATATGATCATAGTTAAGGTTCGAATACAATAGAAGGTTTATGAAAAATTTATTGTAATTTTTACTAAATATGTACATTGTTAATATGAAATAATTAAAGAAGGGAATCTATATATTTTAAAACATTTAACACAAAGAATTGAAATTTTAATCACTGTATCAGAATTCATTGAATATGAATCTGTCTGATATTTAAGATCGTTTTATTCTTTCCATTTAGTTAATTTTCATCTTGAAAATACAGAAAACTGAAACTAATAAAGGAGAAGAAGAACGAAGTTCAATCCTGCAAGAATGAAAACCATGATTTGCTCTTAAATATTTGTATTTTACAGGCTTGAACGTTGTAAATCTTTTTATAGGAATCGTGTTATGAAGGAAGTATTTTTTAAAAATACAATATTCGTTTTATTCGAATTTAACATATTATACAATTATATATTTAACAATACGAATCAATAAGATTATGAATAAAACATTTTAATNATTGATACCTTTCTCTAATTTAGAAAATTTATTTTACTTCAGTAATTACTTTCCTGGTTGTCATAGATAACCGAGGAAAACTATGTCCATCGGTGAAAAAAATGACCATTCAAGATTCTTAGTTTTTTGAAGTCGAGACCTTAAGTAAAACGGAATTTTTCTGTATACAGTGGATGATCGATTAACGAACATAATCCGTTCCAAGATTTTGTTCGTTATCCGATTATCGATTTACCATACGTTTCTATGGGAATTTGATTAATTCGTTCTGGAGACTCCCAAAAGTAATAAATATATACTTTCTTACTGCATTTATTCATATGTAATAATAAAAATACATGTATACAAGGTCTTGCATTTTTATTTGTTATGTTTTTTCCGTTGTGGGGGTTAAAGAATTTGTTCAATGTCGATTGCTTTTCTGTCTTCTTCATGATTTTTCAGAAGTAATTAATCGCATTGTAATTGTAGACATCCCTACGCCTATTAACCTCAACCTGGTTTGGATGCCATTTTAAGATCGTTTTGTTCTGACATTCTCCCATTTCTTCAAAAGATCTTTAATAGCAGATATCGGCATAAATCCGCTTTTTCAAAAGAAAACGTAAAAGAATTGTTTCTATCAGAAATATAAAAGGCTAGAATTACAAGGGAGATTTTCAAAGTTCGGGGGAATACTAACCGTTCAGTATATACTAGATTGAACGTCGATGTCGACGTCTCCCGCGCTCCGAAAAGTTTCGAATTGTTGCCTGAAGACAAAGGAAGACCAAACAGTATTCGTTATTTTACTTCGCTTCTTGTGTTTGTTCAGTGAAGTGTTCGTTATCCGATTTGTTCGTTAACCGATCACACACTGTATATGGATGTTCTTGTGGGTGTGTGTGAAATGCACTATTTTCTTTACGTTTCCGTAGCATAATAACTCGTTTGTTTGCTTTCTGTACAAAACTTTGAAATTTTTAGGAATGTTTCTCTACTGGGAGTATTGACGCAATTCAATTTTGGTGGTTAAAGATCGAAGGGGTAAACAGACAAACGAAGGTCGTGTCACATCTGCAGTAGTGGTCCTACTGGAGATATGACAAACGACCCTCGTTCACAAACTTAATGATTTCACACGTTATTCCCATTGACAATTTTTATAAATCTCATCCCTACCGAAAACAGTAAGCTTTTTGCTATTTTATAATAATAATATGGAATGTTTGTAATTATTAAATATCATAACAGGTGGCGGCACACACAGATTAAATGTTGCCAGGTAAGTTATTAATAATAAACTCGTTGCTGGATTTTTTAATGATGTATTAGATAAAATTTAATAAAATTTTTAATTAATGAATATGATCATAGTTGAGTTTCGAATACCAGAAAAGATTTCTGAAAAATTTATTGTAATGTTACTAAATCTGTACACTGTTAATTAATATGAAATAATTAAAGAAGGAAATTTATATATTTTAAAACAGTTAACACAGAAAATTGAAATTTTAATCACTGTATCAAAATTTATTGAATATGAATCTGTCTGATATTTAAGATCGTTTTATTCTTTCCATTCAGTTAATTTTCTTCTTGAAAATACAGAAAACGGAAACTAATAAAGGAGAAGAAGAACGAAGTTCAATCCTGCAAGAATGAAAACCATGATTTGCTCTTAAATATTTGTATTTTACAGGCTTGAACGTTGTAAATCTTTTTATAGGAATCGTGTTATGAAGGAAGTATTTTTTAAAAATACAATATTCGTTTTATTCGAATTTAACATATTATACAATTATATATTTAACAATACGAATCAATAAGATTATGAATAAAACATTCTAATGTTAAAACAGTCAAATTAAATTAAATTTTATAGAATTTATTTCATGTGTGTTGTTATTACTTTCAGTTGTTCTTTGGATGAAACACAACGTTTAGAAGAAAATATTTTCCAGGATTAAAGAAAAAAGTTGTATATTAGATAGTGTTTTACTTGAAGAAGCAGGAGAGAAATCTATTTCATGAAATAAGGATCAATGGAAAAAGCATGAAGATATAAAAACACTTTTAAAATGTTTTGCAGAAATTGTTTACTTTAATATGTTGTATCATTCGCAGTGATTGAAAGTATTAGTAATATTATATATTTACACTCGAAGTTTCTCATCTGTAAAATTAGTTTTTATGTTTTGATGCAAAAATGTGCTTTTCGATATATAAATGTTTATTTAGAGTTAAATACTATTATTGATTATTTATTGCTTCTAGTGAAGAAAATTAATTTATTACACACAAATAAAATATTATTTAACACAATTTTTTTAATTGCAGATAAAAGAAACCGAAAGAAATTTTCATGTAAACACTGTAAGAAGAATTTCAAAACGAAACAAACTTTGCAAACCCATGAAAGAATACATACAGGAGAAAAGCCTTACACTTGTGACGAGTGTAAGAAGAAATTTACACAACGGGGAAACTTAATTACACATCTTCGCACCCACACCGGAGAAAAGCCTTATAGTTGCGACGAATGTAAAGAGAAGTTTACACAAAGGGGAGACTTAATTAGACATATTCGCACCCACACCGGAGAAAAACCTTACACTTGTTACGTGTGTAAACANAATTTAAATAATTTAATGTGATTTAAAATATATTTAAAAACAAAAATACTCACCTGGGTAAGACTCTTCTTCACTAAAGATATTTCTTTATTTTTATCTCTGACTTTTCTTTGAAGATCATTTATGTCATGTAACAAGAATTCAAATTTCTTGTTTAATTCTTCTTTTTGTTTAGTTTTCATCTCTAATTCTTTTATTTTTTTGCTCATTTCATTGCGTTGTTTGTCGTATAACAATCTTCTACTATTCTTTTCGTTCGTGTAAATGACCAGCTGATTCTTCAACGAGTTTCTTTTCTTTATCGCTGACTGTATCTTATCTTTTAAATGATGCATTGTCACCTGAAATATAATAATCAATAATTCCTTTAAAAATTTTAATTACAATTAAAATATAATGCTGTATAAATACAGGATGGTGGTAAAGTAACTTATTAACCAACTAACGGCAATTTCTGGAGCGCGNTGTAAGAAGAAATTTACACAACGGGAAAACTTAATTACACATCTTCGCACCCACACCGGAGAAAAGCCTTATAGTTGCGACGAATGTAAACAGAAGTTTACACAAAGGGGAGACTTAATTAGGCATATTCGCAAACATACAAGAGAAAAGCTTTACACTTGTGACGGGTGTAAACAGAAGTTTTCACGAAAGGAGAGCTTAATTAAACACCTTCGAATCCACCCCGGAGAATAACATTATGAATGTCAATATGTCCAGAGAAATTCATTCGAAATACAGACCTGAAAAAGCATTACAATATTCACAATTAGAAATAATTTTCCTTCGAAATTTATAATTTTTATTTATATATAATAATCACAAAGTAGNTAATTACAATTAAAATATAATGCTGTATAAATACAGGATGGTGGTAAAGTAACTTATTAACCAACTAACGGCAATTTCTGGAGCGCGGAAAGAGAGGATAGCATACTTCAGTATATTGTTCATGTTAATTACGTAATAAATGTTAAAGTCATGCATAAATTGCATGAGTGATTCGTTAAAGCGAAGTATTATTTCCAATGGATTTATGGCATGGGGGTATAATTGCAAGCAGCCATATATTTCAATAAACTTGAAAACGGCAATCGAGAGGAGGAAAGCTGGAATTTTTCCCTAGATTCGAAGAAATGTTAGGGACCCGTAATGATTCCTACTCCTATAAAATTAACGTTATTTTTATTAATTAACAGAAAATAAAATATTTAAAACTGCTTTTTATNAATATTCCATTTTTTCACATCCCTTTGTGGGGACATTGAGTGTATTCACTTTTGTGCAATAGATGGCAACTAGCTTCCCCATGCTTTGTTCTGTAGTTTATCAATAGCTACATTGTTACTAAGTACTTTTTTCTTTCTTTTTATTTTCTGTATTTTCTTCTAGTTATTTTCCACTCAGTTTTCGGTTAGTCTTAGTTGTAAGTTAAAATAGGGGATGTTAGGTTAGAGTGGAAAAAACTTTGCCTTCTTGCTTATTTGTGTTTTGTCCGGACTGTCTGTCTATTCGGTTTTGTCGTTGTTCTAGTTTGTTTTTCGTGCTGTCTATCTAGCAGTTAAGTTAGCTTTGTTACGCACTCGCATTCTGTATTATTACTATTAAATAGATATACAGTAGAACCTCGATTATCCGACCTAATTGGGGACAGCGGTTGGTCAGATAATTGAAAGGGCGGAAAACCGAAAAGTATGAAAAAATCCATTATTAGTGTAATATATTATTATATCCCATATAATTAGTATATTAGTATATCGCTATTAACCTACTTCGTGTTGAAATTTTCATCGATGTTAAGCCTAACAAAAATTTTTTAAAATAATAATCGTCGCTATTGAATCGTTAAAAATTAGAAAATTAAGCCTCGTTTAAATACTGGCTCCCTTTCATGGTCGAATGAGTGTTGCCAGCTAAAACACGTAAAAATAATATTAAAGTAGCCAAGACAAGGCATTGTAGCGCCACATCAATAGCGGACATTTGAAATTTGCCGACTAGGACGGTCGGTTGATCGGGGGTCGGATAATCGAGGCTCTACTGTAATTTATTCACTGACTGCCACTCAGCACTAACCTACTCTTAGCTATTCGTGGCGGCTCTCAATTAATAGTGTTCGCTACACTCGGGACTTATTAGACCCTACGGGGGACCACGGCCTTCCAACCTAAAAACTGCACACTAACATTAAACTTAGAAGGTTCACTATCCAAACGAACGCCGTTCAGATGGATCCTACTGTCTGTCTTTTCTTCCTCCTTCTTTCCCTCCCCTTTACCCTCTTTTCCACAGATCGTAAAGAGAATTTAACTTTAACTGCTCGGCCGGAAAAACTGTGCAGGGGTCGTTACAGATCTTTCTTTCTTTCTTTCAGTAGATGGTAGTTCATATGGAGTCTTATGGCTGTACACCTTTACTCCGAGAGACTTGCGGGTGATCGCTATGCAACAGAAGAGCCGGCCTTATAGAATGACTTAATCGCGCGCGGGGAAAGAATGCCTTCCGAGAGGACTCTTGTGGAAAACTGGCCTCTATTCAGGCGTCATCGACATGGAGAAAACCCGGAAAACTCCATGCTGCCAGCCCGTTCGAGCGAAGCCCGAACCCACGACCGAAATCCGAGTATTCGGTCTTCTTGGTGTTCTTCCCAGGGTCTAGTCCTCCACTAAAATGCGGGGACGAAGACCTCGTCGTTACAGTTTAAAGAAATTTTTTAACTTTAAAACAACTAATAGCCTGGGGGCGTTGTAGCAACAGCGGTGTCATTCCGTAAAATAAATAATAAATTCATATCAATAATAAATATCTATTACAAATAAAACTAATAATATACTTAATTTCTCACGGCGTATCCTACTAAAACGCAGTCAAAAACGCAAAAAACCGCATCTAATAATAATATAATATATTTATTACTAATTTAAATCAAGGTCTATGTAAGAAGGTCAGGACACGCTTCCGTGATTCTATGCGGCAGCGGCCATTTTGGGACTCATCGATAGAGCTCAACATACGTGGTTCCTGCGTGAGTCGTCTATTATTACTTATATACGTACTCAAAACGTTAAGCAATGGGTTATTGTGTTGCACCTAATTGTAAAAGTAAGTCTACCGACGTTCGATTGTTCAGATTTCCTGCAGATAAGCAGAGGAGAGCGAAATGGGTGCAGAACTGCAGACGGGATACGTGGCAGCCAACTGAACATTCCAAACTGTGTGAGGTTAGTGTATATGAGTGTTTTTCAACCTTCTTGAATACGCGACCTTTTTACAAGTTAAAAAAATTTTGGCGACCCCCCAGGGCCATATTAAAACTATATCAGTGATTTTAAAAACTACGTATTTAATTTTCTTTCTGTTGAGACCTAAATATCGATCGAAAAACCAATTGTACTTTAAAATAAAAACGCAAAGTCTTCTCACTGAAATTGTAGTTTTATTTATTGTAGTGTAGGACCTACAAACACTTGTCTTTTTCTTTTATCCGCGACCCCCGTGTAAGGCTTTGCGACACCCTGAGGGTCGCGACCCACAGGTTGAAAAACACTGATATAGATAACTATCTATGGAATTTCGGGACTTTGAGTATCTATCTGAACTGAGGGGACCGAGACGACTTCAACGATACCCTACTTTTGGACCGGAGACGAAAAATAATAAAGTT